CAGCAGGTAAAAGTTTTTTAAAAGAATAAATCATCAGGTCAACAATAAAAATGAATCAGCAATAACTTTCTGAATCAGTGAATTGTATATAGTGTATATAAATTTTAAAACTGTCAAACCCTATTTGGGTAAAAGTAAATACATCATATTTTTGTTTTAAAAATTAATGAAATATAAATACCTGCCTTTTTCTTTTTCTTTAAAAAAAAATATTTATTTATTTATTTTACCATTTTGGCTTTAAATTATCTATTTAATTTTTTTTATTTTTTTTTAAGTAAAAATTAAAAAAAGAAAAAAGCCTGTTAGCCCATTTTGACAAAAACAAACCAAAAAATTTTAAAAAACAAAAACAAATGATAATTTAATAATTAAAAATTGTTGGAGACAAATGGAGACGCTTTATGGTCTCCTATTGGCTGATTCCGCCGTCAATCAAGCCTCTCTGTGATCCTATTGGTTGTCGTTCCTACCGTTTTCTTTGTGTGTGCGCTCGTTTTCTTTTCCGGGACGGTTGAAGTGAGCGGTCTGCTGTGTTTCTGTAAACTCCGCCCCCGCAGGGCAGCGACGGTGTCTATATTGAAGTGGCCCGGTTGCGGTTTACGTCTCTGAGGTTAAAACTACAGCTGCAGCAGTTTACGGCAGGTCGTGAAGCAGAACTGAGAGACGGCACGTGTGTCACAACAGCAGGTAAAACATCAACACCGCTGACCAGCTAACTGGCGCTTAAACTGGTCGCTTTAGTGGTTAGTTACTGGTTTACTGGTTCAGTCCACACGACTACCAACGGCTCCTCCGTCTAGTGGTTCTGGTTCTGCAGAGGGAGTCTGGTTCTGAACCGGAACCGGTGTTTTCATCAACACAGATGTTTCAGGTGAGGAAGCAGACACACTTATGTACCAGACTCCATTTAAAAAACAACGATTTTAAAGCTCAGGAATCATAGACTGTGTTGCTACTTGTGTTAACTTGGAATCGGCAGCTTTATACCAGACTCCCTTTAAAAAGTGATGTTTTTAACACACAAATCAAAATCTGCTACATAACTTTTATTTACTTCAGGGACCAGATCAGATCCTGTAATAATTCTGCTGCTGTAAATATTATTGCAAGAAGAACAAACATAGATGAGAAAAAAATGAGAAAATATTCACATTTTCGCATTTATTTATTTACAGTATTTGTAATATTTTCTTCGTTGACGACTGATCGATCATCTGTTGCAGCTCCAGTGATGGAGGACTCTTCCTGCTCAGAGGACCAGCCCGAGGGTCCGTCACCGGTGGTTGGGGTCGGCCTCTGTGACTCCGCCCCCCTGCTGTGGAGGCTGCAGGACCTGAAGACGGTGAGGCGCCGCGGCCTGGTGGGGGCGCTGCTGGGCTCACTGCCCAGAACCCCCCGACAGAACCAGAGACTGGGCCGACCGCTGCTGCTGCTGCCGGAGGAGGAGAAGCTGCTGAGGGAGGAGAAGGCAGCTGGAGCCCTGCCGGGCCACAACCAGGTTAGTTTAACCAGGTTAGTTCAACTAGGCTAGCCTTGTTGTAACCAAGTTAGATTAACTAGATCAGTTAAAACAGGTTCGTTTAACTCATTTAGTCTAACCAGGTCAGTTTAACCAGGTTAGTTTAACCTAGAAAGTTTAAGCAGGTTTGTTTAACCAAGTTAGTTAACCAGAACATCAGCGGGTCATATTGAGGTTCGTTTAACGATGTGATTTAATCAAAGCATCGCACAGTTAGGTTAATGAAAGTTAGAATAACTAGGTCCATTAACCAGGACATTACTGAGCCATAACCGGTGGTTTAGCTAGGTCAGTTAGCCAGATTAGTTAACTAATCATATAGTCAGTTAACCAGAACATTACCAAGTCATAGTGAGGTCAGATAACCAGCTGCTAACCAGAACCAACAGTTAACCTACTGGTTGGTTAATAGGGGCGGAGTTTACAGAGGTGTGTTTGGTTCGTTGTTGGTCAGGATGTCGGGGGGGCGGAGCTCCAGCAGGGTTTCGAGGAGGAGCAGCAGAGGAGCTTCGAGGAGCAGAGCGTCCTCGCTCTGGACGACAGGAAGTCAGCGCTGCTGCGAGCCATGACATCATCACACACAGGTGAGAGTGTTACCATGGTGATGTCTCTCTCTACCTGCGGTTGGTCTGACTTTCTGGTTCTGTCATGTTCAGAGTCTGGAGCTGCAGACGAGGCTCTGCGCGGCCGCCTGGAGGCCCTGGACCACGGCTTTACCTTCCCTCGGTCGGCGATGGCGGTCCAGCTGAGCACTGCGAGGGCGGGGCTTAGTTACTGCCCCGAGGCCCGGACCCTCCTACAGGCCGACTGGCCAATCAGAGAGCAGGGTGGTCCCTGCAGCGACACCAAGTACCAGGTGTTCAGAGACCTGCGGGGGCGGGGCTTCTACCTGACATCAGCCGGGAAGTTTGGAGGAGACTTCCTGGTTTATCCAGGTAAGAACGACTTCACCTGTGATCACACTGCTGATCAATAAACCTGATCAGAATCTGAGGGTCGATCATTTAAACACAGATGTTTTGGTGAGGAGGCGGCAGCTCTGCACCAGACTCCATTTAAAATAGAACGTTTTTAATACAGACGTTCAGAGAGTTGACATGTGTTACCATGGAAACAAACACATCCAGCTAGAAAACAAGCCGAGAATAAGCCAATAAGTTTGTGATTGTGTCCTCGGTCAGGTGACCCTCTTCGTTTCCACGCCCACTTCATCGCCGTGTGTCTGGCGCTGGACGAGTCCATCTGTCTGCTGGACGTCCTCGCTGTGGCCCGGCTCGGATCCAACGTCAAGAAGACGGTTCTGCTGTGTTCGCCGGCGCCGGACGGAGGCGTTCGCTACACGTCGCTGCAGTGGAGCGGGATGGCCTAACATCTGGACGGACGGTTTGACATCTGGGCGGACGGTGCTGCATTCAGGGACACACAACCGACTGAGGACTCAACAGAACCTCTTCAGGGCCCAGTTCGTTCTGACTCTGGCTCCTGAGCAGCAGATTGACTTTGACAGTACCTACAGAGAGCTGCACAGGAGGCTGGAAGGTGAGAAAATAAAATATACACGACGACAAAAAGAGACAAGCTGAAAACCTGGAAACAGTGAAAAGGAAAATTCTGATCATTTCTTGTTTCTTTGTTGTAGAATTTGGTGAAGATAAAATAGATTCAGAGGCTCCAGAAGGGGACACAGTTTGTATTATTGGCCCCTAAAAAATGGAAAAAAGTGCAAAACCTTCAAATGAAGCTGGTGTTCTGGCCCCAGAATGTTCCTGTTAGCGTATATTAATGGATGGATCCAGATTTCAGACTAAAAAGACGCTTTGGTCAAGATTTCACCGACTGTTGAGGCTCTAACATCAGTCGGACCTGATGTGTGGAAAGTTTGAGCAGACGAGGTTCCAGTTTTTTTAGTTATTTTGACTCACTGGTAGGAAACAAACTGGTCTTTACTGGTTCTATATGTTGGTTTTATGTGACGCTCTGATAAGACATGATGTTGGTATTTAAAGAAACAGGAACCTGATTAATCTGTTTAACTTTGAGGCTTTAAATCTTCGTGGAAGCACAGAAAACAAACAGGTTGATTCTGAGTGTATTTTTATTTCACATGATTTTACCTTTAAATACAGTCAAAGGAAGGAAGCTTCAGTTTCTAGAAACGTTATTCCTGTAACTAAAAGCTGCAGTTTGATGGAATAAAGACCAACGGAGATGATCCAGATTAAAGCGTCGACTCTGAGCTGCTGCAGACACTTAATCAGTCACATGCTGAAGACACCAGAGGTACCAGAACCTTCCTGTCCACACCAACAGGGGACGCTGCAGCTCCAGGTGAGGCTCGGCGCCGCTCAGTAGAACGGCGACGTGTTGTTCCAGTCCACCGCTGCTCCGTCCCACTTGGTCCTGATGGTCATCTCCAGAGAAGGAAACTTTTTCTCCGGGTCTCCGTCCGAGTCGCTGGACGATGCCTCCCAGTGGTGGGAGTGAGTGTCTGCAGCAGGAGGACGCACGTTTAAATACACGATAAATAAAAAATGTGTCTGCAGCCGCCAGGGGAACAAAACAGTCAGTATTGTGTGTTTGTAGTAGTGGAGGCTGTGGTTTCAGTTTAACTGAGGTGAGCTGAGAGCTGTTTGATTCAACACCTGCCAAGTCAGACGATCGCTAACGAGTGGGTCATAGCTGTAAAGGTTTATTCTGCTAAAGTACTGCTGTCTAATGAACGAGTTCAGATTTAACTGGTTCATTACACTCATAAATACTACTTTCTGTCCAAATGCTGGTAGCTTTAAAAGGTTATTCCATCTAAAGTGTTACTTTTTACCCAAGAACTGAAAGTTTTAAAGGTTTATTCCACCCAAAATATGACTTCCTGTCTACGTACTTTAGTTTTGAAGATTTTATTCTACTCAAAGTACTATTTTCTGTCCACAAACATATATAATTTTTGTTTTTATTTCAACTTTTAAGGGTTATCAATTTCAAAACACAACTTTCTGCCCAAGTCCTTGTAGTTTTCAGTTTGTTTCACCCAAAATGCTGTTTTCTGCCAAAATACTTTTAGTTTTCAAGGTTTATTCCACTTGAATAATACTTTCTGTCCAAATACGAATAGTTTTCAATTTTTATTCCACTTTAAATATCACTTTCTTACAGTTACTTATAGCTTTCAATGTTTATTCTCCCAAAATACTCCTTTCTAAGTTAGGAGTTGTGATTTTTAATGTTTAATCCTCTCAAATTACCACTTTCTGTCCAAGCAAAGGTTTAATCCATCCTAGTAGTACTTGCTAAGGAACAAGTTTAGACCTTACACTTTTTTTCCCATCCAAAATACCGCTTTCTTACAAGGTATGTACAGTTTTAAAGGTTTATTCCACCCAAACTGTGCATAGTTCTTTTTTTTTTTTAAGCTAGCCCTCCTTTAGCGTAAACAAGTGTTCTTCATGTTTTCTTTGCCTTAAAGGAGTTCATGAAAGCCAACAATCCTTTAACTATGGTTCTTAACATGCCGCCTCCTCTGCTGCTGCTCCAGACGGTGGACCAGACTTTAGAAACAGATCGGATCAGTTTGGTTCTTACCGACGGTCAGCCTGGCGGTTTCCGTCTGCGAGCTCTGGCCGTTGTAGTAATACAGCTGGAAGAGATGCTCCATCCTCCAGTCGGACAGCAGCGAGCGGTTCAGGCTGAACAGAACCGAGTAGCTGCTGTTGATGCAGCAGATCCACACTGGAAACCTGGGAGTCTTCAGCATGCTGCCCACCTGCACGGACGGGACGAGTTAGGCCTCATGGACACCAGAACAAGTGAAGAGGTTTTAAGAGTCCTGAGACTAATGATGGGCAAAGCTTTCTGCAGCTGCTTCACCAACACCACAGTTTCTGATGCTGGAGGAGACTGTTGAGAGTGAAGACAACAAACCTTCTGCTCTCCATCAACATAAACAGGAGTACTGGGCAGATGAAGGTGCGTTCTACTGCAGGAGCTCATCACAGCGATCAAAAATGTTCTGAGGAATTGAAACCCGGAGGAACTAGAGTCCAAGTTTAGCTCCTGGAGAGAGATGTACCCCCAGATGGTTCATGGCGTTGATAAGCTGTTTTCCACAGCAGGAGCTCTACCCAACGTTTAGGAACCTTTGGAAGAACTGAAGCTCAGAGGAACAGGCTTTTAAATTCATTTCCTGGAGATGGTTTCACCCACAGAAAGTCCCTGCTCAAGAACATCATTCAGCAGTTTTCCACTCCAGGAACTTCCCCCAAAGATCAGGAATCTTTGAAGGAACCAGGATCTAAACTCAGTTCATGGAGCTGGTTTTGCCCAAAGACAGTCCCTGCTCAAGAACATCATTTTGCGCTACAGAAACTTTCAGCCACTTTAGGAGCCATTTTCAGGAGATAAAACCGACTCAGGGTTGGTACGTCTCTCAATGTCTTCATCCAGAAATCGACTTCTGCCCTCAATCCCCTCCATCAGCGACATCGTTCCATCCTGCACCATCATGGAAGCAGAAAGGCTGAAAGAACCGATTGGTTTCTGTAGACGTTGGTTCCACAGTTGACCTGCAGGAAAAGATGCCTCTATGTCCTGAAGGATTAGAACCCTTCAGGGAGACCTTAAAGTGTCTGTGACTGGTCGAGTGTTTTCTACATTCCTGATGTTCTTATTAAAACCTGCAGCAGCAAACACGGTCGTCTGCTTTTACTTAAAGCCGACAACAACCAGGATGCAGCAGAACCAGAGATCTGACCGCTGATGGACCGATGACTGAGTCCAGACTTGGATTTGTTCAGACTGACGTTCGGAGAGCATCTTTGTCTTCTATCTAACGGTGGACATGAAACTGAACGGACATGTTTAAGGAGAACGTCTGATGTGAGGAGAACATGTTATGTAAACACAATCACTCTGGAGCATGTAATTAAAACATGATACATCCGTGTAGAGTTTCAGAGTGAAATCAGACCCTGGACTATGAATTAATTGTTACAGTGCAGCACAAAGGAAATTCCACCTTAACAGTAGCCGCTGCAGTCGTCAGTGGTGAAGTGCATCATGTTTCTACTATCAGCCGTGCAAACAAAGCTTTTTGTGGTTTGGTAGTAGTCGGTAGACTCGTACCTGCGGCAGTCGGCCTCGGTCCATCTGCTCGCGGCTCCAGAGCAGGTATCCGACGTCGCTGCGACACAGGACGCCCTGCAGGGGGCGCTCCAGAGGCCGGCCGTCCTCGTCGCGGTGCAGCGTCCCGTTGAAGACGTGAGGAGTCGCTTTGCCGGTCAGCAGCAGGTTCAGCAGCGCCTGCAGAGACACAGCAGAGTACACAACCAGGATACACTGGACTCACACAGTCAGACCGTTGTACACAACATCTACACAACCCGGTGGACAACAGTCTGACTGCGTCGTCATGGGAACAAGAGTTAGAAGTCTCCACCATCACCTGCCAGCAGGTCTTGTTTGTCTGTATGAGGTGGAATCAAAAGTAAAAACACTTTTTGTCTCTTTTTGGTCATTTGTCTGTTTGGTGTTGGTTTGTGTTGATTTTTTTCTCTCTTATTTGGTCATTTGTATCTTTTGACATCATTTTCTGTCACTTTGTGGTTGTTTGTTTGTGTCTTTGTGACTGTTTTGTGTCTCTTTATGTTGGTTTTGAATCTCTTTGTAGTTTACTTTTACTTTATTTTGGAGTCATTTTGCATCTCTATGTAGTTGTTTTGTGTCTCTTCACTCTTTGCACCTTTTTGTGTTTTTTTTGTCTCTTTTGATCATTGTGTGTCTCTCTTTGGTCATTCATATCACTTTGTGGTTGTTTCTTTTGTCTTTGTAGTCGTTGTGTGTCTCTTTGACGTTGTGTTCTTTCACTGTTTAAGTGCTATTTCTCCTCCTGGTGGTCGCCACAGATCCACCTCTGATCACCACGGTGATGAGGGTGGACACAACTACAAGATATCTGGACAATTAAACAGCGACACAGGTGAGCTTCTTACCTGGCGACAGACGAAGTTGCCCAGACTGAGGTAGAGCAGGTGGGAGGTGGTCGAGTCCAGGTCCTCCTTCAGCCTGGGAGGATGACAACAACACGTGATCTGTGGTGTTTGTGCTTCTAACCTGAAACTTCTAACTCTGGTCAGGCTGCAGCAAAAACCTGAGTTTAAAGTTGTGTGTTTGACTTTCGTGTCTCAGATGAGTCGCCCCCTGCTGGTTGTTAGAAAGAGTGCAGGTTTTGGGCCGTCCTTTATATAGTCTGTGATGTAAAGTGTTGCTTCATGCTCATATTAAATGGTGTCATGGAGATGTAGGGGGCGCTCAGGTGGAGGTTTCCAGGTGTTGTTACCTGTCGACTGTTCGGGAGCAGATGAGGCTGTAGAGGAACAGGATGACTCCGTGACCGCCCTCCTCTGTGAACTACAACAAAACACATCACAGAGGTCTCAGGTTATTTACCGTCATTAAAACTGAATATATTTACTTAAACATGAACTCTGACTGTCTGCTGATGTGATATTAACACTCAGAACTAACTGATCCTCAGCGGTTTCCTGGACGTACTCACACAGTGGATGTGATCGAGGATGAACTTCCTGACGTCGTCCTTCTTATTGAACGTAAACAGCTGCAGCTGAAAGACGCGTAAACAACACGTATCACGACGTTTGTTCGTCACGCAGACAGAATAACTGACGGCTGATTGGTACCCTCTCTGTGAAGTTGTCCATCTTGTAGTCCAGGTGAGGCGTGATGCAGTAGTCTTCAGTTACCAAGGTAACGGTGGCGCTCACCTCCTGGCCGGCCAACCAGAGGCTGTCGGACAGCGCCGCCGCTAACGCCCTCTCCTGGTCCCTCGGTCCGACCTCGCTCAGACTGGACGAAGACAGAATAAAACAAACCGTACCCTTGTTTAGTCGTTCCCCACCAGGCAGTTTCACTACAACTGCCACCTTAACTCATCTGCCCCCTGGTGGTTTTTTAAAGCCCTTAACACCTTGAATATTACATCTGTTCACGAGGTTAGCCGTCTCCAGGAAGTTTCACTACCATTAACATCTTGGGTCATCTCTCCCCTCGCAGTTCCTTACCTATGAACACCTTGAGTCAACCCTTATGATGCTGTTTCACCACACTTTGTCATCCCTCCCCTCATAGTTTCACCACCATTCACACCTTGAGAACTCACTCACTGAACAGTTTCACTACCATTCACACACTAAGTCATCCATCACCAGGCAGTTTTACTTCCATTCCCGTATTTAGTCATCACTGTAGTGGCAGTTTCACCACCGTTTCCTCTTGAGTCATCCTCCTTCTGATGGTTTCAACACCATTAATCCTTCAAGTTATCCCTCACCTGCTAGTTTTAACACCATTCACACATCGAGGATTGAGAGTCTTGAGTCATTAAAGGGATTTAGGGACGATGATACACATGTGAGACTCCCCATCAGTAAGTCAGAACTGAAGAAACCTCTTTGATTGAGGTGAAACATGTTCAACAACCAAAAACAAATCCTGTTTACGTCTACTAAAGCTCTTAGGGATTTCCTCCCAGGTGTCAGCGAGGCCGTTGATGGTTTTATTTCTGTCTCATCTCCGCCTCGGGGCGTCACGTTACAGGTGTGTTTTCCATCATGTTCCTGTTAACAGGTGCAGGTATCGTCTTCAACGTGTCAAACAGGGTGATCTGATGACCTCACCTGTGCAGCGTCCGTCTGTCTGAGCCACTCTGTCGGATGAACAGCAGGTGTTTGATGATGCGAGCCTGGACGGCCGTCTGAATGGCCCGAGCCCCGCCCTGAAACGCACACCTGACCAGGTGAGACTACGGCTGTTGGGTTGCTGTAATGAATCTTAACCAGTCTGAATGTGATACGACTGAATGTGTTCTTCATGTTTTGGTCGGTCGTAGTCTACACGTTTTGTTTTTGTCTGAACTTGCTGTTGCTGAATGAATTTTAATGTCAGTGAAGTTTTGTCATGGTTCAGTCGCTGTTAACTGATTGTGACATGACGTAGCATCAACTGTGGCTAATCAGGAGCTAACAGTAAGAGTAGCATCAGTAATTGATGGTAATAGTACAAGAGCATACAACAGATGTGAGCGCACCAACGTGTGCTACCTTTTAAATGCCAAATGATTCAGTGACTCGTTAATGAATCAGTTAAACAGTCGAGTTGTTCCTCTTATGATCAGTTAAAAACTTTGGGAAGATGATATTGATAATTCAGGCCTGTACGACTTGGACATGTATGTGGCCTGGCCTGTAACCAACACAACATCTTCTGGATATTTTAATGAGAAACTTGAATAAAACTTGAACAAAACAGTCTAACAAATGAGCAGAAGGTAGTAAGCTCTGGTATCCATCATGTAGAAGAGGATTGAGTTTATCTTTAGATATCAACGTGTGAGAGTTGCATCAGGTTTCTACTATGAAGCCTGTATTTTTAACATCATAACTCTAAATCGTTTTTAATTTGACATCAGAGCAAATATTCAATGGTTCAACTTAGAAGTAATCTGATTACTGTAAGATGATACAGTTTAGACTCATTTAAGACATTTAAGTGGTACTATACAGATTCCTGTCGTATACTGAGCTACGACTGCAGCATTTCTCACCCTGTCCGTCTCCAGAGCGTAGGACAGCTCTGAGTTCGGCTTTCTGAACTGGAAGAAGGATTTCCTCCACTCATAGTTGAAGACGTGAAACGTTCCCCCGAACAGGATCCTCCTCAGACTCTGAGCAGAACGAGAAGCGAGGTGTAGTTCAGATCAGATGAAACTGCACGAGTCACAAGTTGTCGAACAGACAAACAGCTTCCAATTTACATCAGATTTAATTGTAGGTAGAACCTACATATAGCTCTGGGTCTATCACTAAACCCTTTGCTATGGTTTAAATCAATATATTAATAGGGTAATATCAATCAATTACAGTTACTGTAGTGGATAAAACACAGTTAAAGCCAATCCCAGGTTATCTGTAACACCTGGGCTCTGGTTGGATGTTAATAATTGTCCCAGAAGTCTTTGTCATGATGCCCCTTTACCAGCTAAACTCCCACAATGCTCTCTGCTGCCAACATGAACTGTAGTCTGAGTGATGCCTCCTCTGGTCTCTGCAGTGTCACACAGTGAGAAGCTCCACCTGGTGGAACAACCAGGTACTGCAGCTGGTCTATGATACATGAAGTGGCATCATGTAGAGAACACAGGTTTTATCCACCTCGTAGAGCTCAGTACATCCTTCCCTCTAACACTACATCACTCAGTGTCCTTTTGAAGCTTTACAACAACCATGAACACCTACAGGACATTAGGAACAGCTTGGATTTTTTTGTGCATTCTGTTGTCAATCAGATACGTTGGAATTAGTGACTTTAATGTGCTTGAAGTGCATATTCTGTAGTAAAATTATACCAAACTGGGACTTGTTATCCGCAGATGATAAATATTAAATGATTCAGATTGACCAGGACATTCCTAATTCTTGGCCTTTACATTGGGACGTATCAGATCTTGGTAGTATGGATACTGGAGCACAGCCAATAAAACACCTCCAACACCTCCGTCCAGGTTTAGGTGTTGGAGCTCTGGCTGTTGGCTGCCCTGTGATCAGCAGTGGTGTCGGGTGACGGGGTTACCTCAGTCAGCTGGGGGGTGACCGGCGTCCCTCCCAGGCTAGAGGAGATCACCAGCCTCCTGGGGATGGAGCAGAGCGGCGTGAAGGCCCGGCTGGGTGGAGGCGCCTCCTCCTGCTCCTCCTCCTTCCCCACATCCAGCAGCCTCTGAGGGGCAAACCGACAAACCAAACTCCCTGTCAGGTTATCGCTGCTCTCTAAATGATAATGTTTAACCTCAACAAATACACAGACTGTATAAATCATTTCTAATGAAGCTATGTTCAGTCAACAAACTAGATTGAGGTACGGGGAAATAAGAAATGAAGCTCAGATACGATGGAGTGCCAAAACTAAACGGTTCCCTCTCATCAGATTCTGTAAAAAACAAAAAATTCTGGGTTTCTTAATGCAACTGTGAAGCCACGACTGACTCAGCTGTGACCAGCAGTCAGGTGAGAAAAAATCTGAGAGTTTTCAGGTTGAGCTGCAGCTTTATTACTACAGAGGAAAATTAAACCTCCTGGATCAATAGATAAAAGCAGCACGGCTCAGAACCCGTGAACAGAGGAGCCAGTTGTTGGTGCTTCCTGCTGCTTGTTGGACCTTTTTTTTCTTGTTGTTGGGCGGGGAGTTTTAAAAAGTTTGTAGAAGCTGTAAAATAGTCAAATATGTGGAGCATGTGGAGAGTAATAATGACTGTTAGAAAAATGTTGGACGTGTTGATTCCAGGTTTTGTCATTTTTTGTACAACATAGAATCATAGTTTTTTATGATTTGATGTCACTATAACTTTGTCATACAATGCAGAAGACACTTAATTTTTGTGGTTTAAGTCATTTTGGACACATTTTAAGACATTCTAGAAAAGTTTTCAAGTTTAAAATCAAAGAATTTTTGTTTTCCTCTTAATTTTGCCATTCTAACTGCATCATGCTGCACAGAAGACATTTCTGAGTTCTCTCTCCTCCTTCATGGTTGTTCTGTTTCCACGGAGGTGCAGGACTTTGTATTGCAGTGAAAAATGAGCCACAGTGAGGACAAATGTGACGGAGCATCTAGAGACTGAGTCCAGACGGTTAAATCTAATCATAGAAACCTACAAGTGAGGCGCTGCAGCATCAGTGGAACTAACAAAACAAAGACTCACGTCAGGATTCTTGTCCACTTCCTCTTGAAGCAGCTCGATGTAGTTCAGCCGGCTGTCTGTCATCACCAAACACTTCTAAACTAGCAGCAGCACTTTGAGCACAGCGACCAGCTCTGATGTAACGCTCATGCTGTTGGACTGACTGCAGTCGGAGCTGCACACCTGAAGCCGCCAGCAGCAGGTAGATGCTGCAGTGAAACCGAATCCTGACTCGCTGATACTCGATCACGTTCTGTGCTGCAACAACCAGATGAACCGGAGAGAGTTCCTCACTGCACCAGCAGACGGCAGCACTGAGCAGATTAATCCTCAGAACTACAAACAGATTCAACGTGTTCTTCACTCCTGATGCATTTATCAATATAAAGTCCTGCAGCTCTTTGGAAACAGAACAACCACGAGTAAAACTGGAGAGAACTCAAACATGTCTTGTGTCTAGTATGACTCAGTTATGATGCCATAAAAACAGAAATTTGAATTTCTTTGACAATTTAGTTGACAAAACTTTAAAAAATCACCTGGAATCAACATGTACAGCATTTTTCCAGTGTTGCGAATACTGTAAAATTAGTAATATTGAGCTTTAACTACATTTTTTATTTATATCCATCCTCGTCTCCTCTCTACTCTGTCAAATACATGCATCAAATCACAGCTCAGTCGTGGCTTTTCTGTTGTGCAAAAAATTCTGAAGAAAAAAGTCAAAATGGTAAAACTAAAAAGAAGTTCAAAAGTTGACATTTTGAGACAAAAAAAGCAGTAAAATTGACTTGAAAATAAATTTTAAAAACTTTAAAAGAAGAAAGTAACGATGTCCTGATCGAGTTCGGCTTTGTGTCATTTAATATTTCGTATCTAAACTTCAAGTACTATAGATCAGCTGCAGTACCTGGTTGCACCACCAGATGGAGCCTTTTACTGTTTAACTCCTTATCGGGCAGAGAGCCATATATGGTAACTTCCTTTAAAAATGGCAGGGGGCATAATCACGTGACTTTATCCAGCCAATCGACCAAGGTCAGGCTACGTATATGGTCACTGCTTTGACTTTGATTTGGAGCCTAAATCTGAAACTTTTTCAAAAAACAAAAAATGTCCCCTTTTATCTATCAGTAACACTCCAGGGATGAAATTTTAAATTTCCAAGTATCTCAATGAGTGCCTTGTAAAGGGTTAATACTGTAGCTGTCGGCAGTTCCAATGTTGGCGAACAGAGAGCATTGTGGGAGTCTCATTATGATGTTTAATGACCTCCAGCTAGAAGTCAGAATCACAGTTTGTCCAATTTCTATCACCGTCCAGTCAACTATTAAATTGATATTGCTGCATTTATTAGGAAAACTAAGCTGCTGCTATGGCGGGATGGTATTTCTCTAAACCAATCACAGCTGTTCTGGCTGCTGCTTGACTTATCTCAGGCCTTTTTTTCTGCATTATGTTCCTCAAAAATTAGCTTTTGTATCCAACATTATATGAGCTGTTACCTGTGATCGGCCTCAATCAGTCGATACTACAGGTATAGATAAACATGTGTATCAATAGACGCATGTAGACAACAAGTTCATGAATTTAACACGTAGATACTCACTACTGTGTGTTTCGTCTGCAGCCTGCAGGAAGACGACACAACAGAAGACAATCCATCATTCACTTAAAGACAGAGTAATGAAGGTTTATCTCCAATCAATCAACCAACCAACCAACCAACCACCCACCCAACCACCCAATCACCCAACCAACCAACCACCCAATCACCCAACCAACCACCCAACCAACCAACCACCCAACCAACCAACCAACCAAAAAAAACATGTTTCTATAAATGAAGAGATTGAAATTGAAGATTTTATAAATTCTAAATGTGAAAACTTTCCTTCGTCGCTGCAGGTCGGACACGTCGTCCAGGATCTGCTGAAGCTCCGCCTCCATCTGAAAACACAAACATTTCTCATAGATCATAAAAAAAAAGTTGGAAAAGAATTCAATTTCTTTCATTGTTTATCTTTACACAATTGCAAAAACAAACAAACAAACAATCAAAACATGTAATCTGCATTTCCAACTATTTTCCAGAGCGTTACTAAAACTCTACATACTTTGGATAATTCATGACTTCCATTTATCTCCTCCTGCTCTCTATAAACAGCAGTTTGGCTGAAAGCTCTCTGAATTTTCTTCACACGACGGTTGATCACAGCTGAGTGACTGACGGCTTCACGGTTGCATCGAGAAACTCAGAATTTTTTGTTTTTTACAGAATCTGGCTCACAGCAGCGCTTTATTTTTGACAAATTTTAAAACAGGACATGCAGAATAAGATGATTTCTATTAAATATGACAACTTCCAGGTTAGATTTAGTTGTTTTCCTGCAAAAAACTATTTCCTGTTTTCTGACTGACCCTGGGTTCTAGTTCAGAGTTAACCTGGTTAACAGTTTAAATTAGTTACTGACGTCTTCAACCCACCAAACAAAGTGCAGACACACACAGCAGCTGGAAGTTTTTGAACAGGAGTAAAATTCAGAAACAACAGAAAAAACCTCTTAAAACGATCTAAACTAACTTCTCTCTGTCTGGATGTCATTGATCAGGACGGATTTTACCTGCAGCCGATCACAGTGAAGCTTCCTCAGACTGACTCACCTGAACCTGAACCGGCTCTTTTGTTCTGCCGCCCTCAGCTCAGTCTTCCAGGAAACAGGCCGACCCCCAGCGTTGGACTCATTAAAGGGTATTAACCTCAGAACCAATGAATCGGTCCGTCAGCGACTGAACTCAGGACTGACAGACACTAGATTTTAGTCGAGGCTGCAGAGTTCAGTTCAAACAAGCTTAAATTAAATCCATTATATAAGAAAAACAGCAGAAACTCTTCATGTTTTCAAACATTTGTTCATCATTTCATTCATTATGAGTGTAATTTAATCTTCAGTTGACAAATTCCTGAATTCTATCGAGTAAATTTGGTCATAAAAAGCTTCAACTAACATTATTTCCATTTCGGATCCATCTGTTGGTTATTTTCTGGATGAGTCGGTCGTTGTTTGGTGAAAAATATCAGTCAGTGTTTCCCAAAGATGACAAATGTCTTGTTTTGTCCATATTTCAGTTTGCAAGCAGAAAAAATAAGAAATGAGTTTAAATCTGTCCAAAAAGACCCAAAGATTGTCTAAATGAGTGCCTCAACTGAGTCTAATTTTCAAACTTTGACACTGATTTCAGATGTTATGCTTGATTTCAACTAGACTGAGTCTGATTTATAGATTCTGTTCCTGATTTCTTCTGAACTGAGTCTGATTTATAGACTTTATGTCTGATTTCAGACTTTCTGCCTGAATTCCTTCAAACTAAATCATTCTTTCTTAATATTTTGTGTCTGATTTCTTCTAAATGAAGTTGACCTTTCATACTTTGTGACTGGTTTCTTCTGAACTGAATCTGATTTTGTGATTTATTTTGTGCCTAATTTATTCTAAAGTAAGTCTGAGTTTTAAATTTGTGCCTGGTTTCTTCTAAATTAAGTCTGAGTTTGAGATTGTTTTTGATTTCTTCTAAACTGAGCAACATTTTAGATTTTGAATTCCACTAAACTGAGTCAGATTGTTTAGATTTTGTGACTGATTTTGTCTAAAGTCTGATTTTCAGACTTTATGTTTGATTTCTCCCATATCGAGCCTGTTTTTTTTTAGGCTTTGTGTTTGATTTTTTTCTACATTAAGTCTAATTTTCAGACTCTCTGTTTGACGTATCCGATACTGAGTCTGTTCTTAGACTTTTCCAGACTTCATGTCGTCTCTGACACTGAGTCTGGTTTTCCGTCTCTCCGGCTTACGGGGGTCCGGTGAGTCTCAGTCTGCCATCAGCTGGATGAAATCCTTTCCTTTAATTGTTCGCATTGAACAAGACACCACAATTAACAACAACAGGACACCGGCCTCCTGCCGAACCACGTGGTCGCGTTCTTCAGCCTCCACTCAGACCCGATTGTTGGATTCACTCAACACGTTTACAGACAGATGGACGGACGGTTCGGTGTCACTGTGGGAGGCGGAGCGACGGAAAACCTGCTTCAGCCCCAATCAGAACCAGATCCTTTAAAACAGGAACGATATTGTCACTGATAGTTGCCTTGTGGCCACTGGAACTAGAAAACATCTGGAAAAGAGCCCAGCAGCCCACATCTGGAGCTCCTCACTGACCTGTAGCTGACGTTTAACCGACCAGAGAACGAGTGCTGGTCTCAGTTTACAGTTTATTAGAACTCTGTGGATCCCGGTAGACGTGGACGAGCTGCATTTTCTCCAAAGTTGTATGAAAAAGTCAGAAAACACTGCAAATACTGAACATTTTGGACAGAGAAAAAACGTACAAACGATCAGAAATAGTTCAAATATATCACCAACGTCACTTGTTTATGTTGTTTCCAGCCAATAAAAAACAATTGTTCAAATGAAATTTACAATAAATCTAGATTTGGCGTCACTATGAATAGTTCTGGTTTTATAAAAAGTACGTTTTAAATGGTTCACACAGGATCTACACTCAGTCTGTATTCTGAAGGAGTTTAGGTTGGTGTAATTATCAGAAAACGCTCAGATTCAGAGGTTTACTGCATTAACGTGCCTCCTGTTCTTCTTCTTTAAGGGCTGCAGCAGCAAAACTCACATTTAGACGTCGTTGTTCAGTGAAGAACCTCCAACAGCAGCAGACGGCGAGTCCTGATCCAACAAACCGGGTTTCTACGTAATTATAAACTGAATTTAAAGGGACATTTTTACAGGTTTAAAGCAAACAATAAGTTCCTCTGTGGTAAAGGGAACATTGGAAACTAGCAGTAAAGAGGAAATTTAGATGTTAAAAAGCCACAAAGAGTCAAAGTTTACCAGTTTGTCTGGAGTGAATTTATGGATGATCTCAAAATGAGGACAACTATAAAACAATTTAAAAGAATTTACCACAAAAAAACTGCATTAAAAAAAAATCTAGTCGCTTTTTAAGGAGTCTTAAAGACTAAAGTGTTTCCTTTGTTATTCAATAAAGACGTTTCCATCTCCCACCAAGCTCATGAAGGCTTTCAGAAAATATAGGAAGAGTTTTTTTGGATCAACATTAGTCATAAAATACTTCTAAATGGGCGTAGAAACATCAGAGGGAGTTACGTTGCTCTTTACACTGTAAATTGCTGCCAATCAGCCTGTAACTGTTCACATAAATAACACCAACATATAGACATATAGACCCCATAAACACCAGTTTGTGTCTCAAAATATCAAAAAACTGGAACCTTGTCTTGACAAAATAATTAATTAATTACAAAATATTCTGATATTAGGAGCCTCAACAGTTGGTGAAATGCCAACCAAGAGACTTTATTTTAGAAGAAATATGGATCCATCCATATATACATCCACTTCCAGCAACTTTCTAGAGCTACGATGTCACCCTCGTTTAAAGATTTTGTAGTTTTTTTTTATTTTCAAGGGCCAATAATTATGCAGTATTGCCATTTTGCCAATATTTTTTTTATTTTTGACAAGTTCTGTGTCACTTCAGACCATTTTTCACTAGTTTTGGACACGTTTCAAGTCATTTTGGACCCACTTTGAATTTTTTTTTGAACTTTTTTTTTTTTTTTTTTACCCTTTTTGGATGAGTTTCAAGTCAAAATAGCAAAACTGGAACCTTATCTGGTCATACTTTCTACACAGCAGGTTCTACTGAGGCCTCAAGAGTTGGTGAAATGTGACCAAAGACTGGATTTTAGTAGAAACATGGATCCATCCATAGATAGACACTGACAGGATCTTTCTAGGGCCACAATGCTGCCATCACTTTAACATTTTTCTTCCATTTTTAAGAGGCAATAATGAATCATTTGTCCTTTAATGGATCCATCCAGTGATTGTCATCTGTTGGAAACTTTTCTGTCTGTGTCCTCGCCAAGTTTCAAGGCTGTGGGAGTTTTATTTCTGGGGATAATAAACCCTGGAAATGGCTTAAAATGGTAAAATCAGCTTTAAACCAGCAGTGTGGGACGTTTGTCTCCCCCTTCTGGCAGTGAGAGCAACTACAGAAAGTTTGCCAATGTGTTGTTATGATGTAAACCTCGATATCTTTCTTTTTCTAACTCTTCCTCTAAAGTTTATTTTTATGTGTGAAAGACCCTTCATTCAGATCCCAGACGAGCCCCCAGTTCGGTTTCTTTTCCTGCTCGCTGAAGAAAAAGGAAACTGACAAAAAAACAACCACATCGTCACAGTTTTACCAAAGATGAATGTTGTTTTATTGTGTAGAGGGTTTTCAAAGACTTTTCTTGGATGCTTCCTGGGTTTTTCTTCCATGTCGTCCACAACGCTGACGGCTGTCCGAACCACGAAAACGTCCGACACCAGATCTGAATTTAACGGATGATCACTTCTATAGAAAAGTGCTGCACGTTTAAAGTATAAATCTATAAAACTGAATATACAATACAAATGCAGTTAATTTCATTCTATCTCTATTAAAGTTAATAAACTGCGTGTTTTTAGCAGATTAGTGAAAAACAGCTTAAAGTGACTCTCTGACAATTAAAACTAATACTGAACTAAACTATTGATCAGAGCTGATAATTAACGGTTTAAATCTGTTCAATGTGAATATTTGCTGCTTTTCTTTTGTTTGTTGGTGGAACAACATCTGAAGACATTTTCACAGTTTTTCTGGCTTTGTAGAAAACAACGAGTCCTCTCGCGTCTCAGGAATCCTGGTTTCTGTCTCGGGTGGAACTCGTTGATTCCTGAAGCTAACGGCCGGTTTGTCTTCAGTACATGAGGTCCGCCGCCCCGCCGCCCAGCTCCACCTCTTTGCTCTCCTGGAAGGGAAACTGGATTCCTGCCAGCCGGATCAGAACGGCGTTGAGTCCATGCAGGACGAAGACGAGGAAGAAGAGCCAGAAGGACCGGTCGTAGCGCTCGCTGTACGTCTGGAAGACGAAGTTCACCTCGTTGAAGTTGGCGATTCGCTCGGACAGACGATGGAACTTCACCTCCGACGCAAACAGGATCATCACCAGGCAGCTGCTCAGACCTGCAGGACCAACACAAACCGGCAGGACGAGGCTCTGAGACCCGGAAGTCTGGATTTATACCGCAGTCCAGAACCATCCAGAACCTCAGAGACGACTGTGAGCAACTAACTGAGCCAAAACACATCTGACAACAGATGGAGAAAACACAAATACACACCAAATGTCTAACAACCGGGAGACTCGTAGTTACCATCAGGTGAAATGAAACCTCTGAAGGAGGAAGTGATGGGATGGTGGTTGTCTCTGAACAAACAGCCTCAGGTTGCCTCTCTAAGTACCCCCCTCCATTTATTGCCCTCCTCTCCTGCCTCAAGCTCCATTTCTGTTTCTGTTATCAGCCTGTTTGTTTTAAATTCGACTCAGACTGATCCATGTTTTATACCTAATTACAGGAAGAATGAAAACACAGCAGGTGTTTTAATCAAACACACTGTTTTGTGACATAACTAACAGGAAGATGCAAAAAACTACCAAACAAACAACCACAAAGAGACACAAAAGAATCCCAGAAAGACACAAAACAGCCACAAAGAGACACAAAACAGCCGGCTGGTTTCTCACAGCAGATGAAGGTCCAGAGGTAAAGCCCCAGGGGGCCCTGCAGCGTCTCGTAGGGTCGACCGAAGGCGTTGAAGAAGAAGAAGCCGGTGGCCACGGAGGAGAAGAGGATCACGACACCACAGAAGAAGATGACGGTGACGTGGAGGCCTGCTGGGATGGCGCTCAGCAGGTCTGGGAAGACTGGGAGAGATGGGAGACAGAGATGCCTGCAGGTCAGACTGAGGGCAGAAAAACCCACCAATTGAACACAAAGAGACATGAAATGATGACAAAAGGACACAAACACTCCAAGACCAGACTGAACCAGAGGGACGTAGAGATGAACTGACTCAAAGAGATGAAAGAAAACCAAGAAGGGATGCAACTCAAAGTCAGACGTTTGGTTTCTCCGTCAGTCAGAAGCTTGTGGACTCTGATCGGAACAAGACTTCTGACAGGATGAAGGCAGCAGCTCCACGAGGACTCCGGCGCTGAATGAATGGATGAATGAACCTCAGTGAACAGAACAGCTTTGTTCCTCCTCAGCAGCTCCGAGCTGCTCAGGCAGAAACCTGTTAGTGATGGACGGCTGCTCCTGATAACTGGGACCAGTGATGGACTGTACTGGACCAGTAACACTCTGTACTGGACCAGTAACACTCTGTACTGGACCAGTCTGCAGCCTCAGAGGGTTTCAGCACACAGCGACAACAAATGAGCCTCACAAAGATGCTTCTGATGTAGACAAACATGGAGTCTGGGAGGAGAAACTGGTCACTGTAGTCAGATCTGACACACAAAACACCAAAAGGTTACACAAAATCATCAAAAAGAGGAGCAAGAACAACACAAAGAGACACAAAACCACCAAAAAGAGACACAAAAATCCATAAATAGACACCAAACACTAAAAAAATAGACTCAAAACCACCTAAAGAGAAGCCAAACAAAGCCACTAAACCACCACAAACACAGACAGCATCATCAGTTCAGACATGTTTCATATTTTCTGCTTTCAGGAATAAAAACTTTTAGAAATTAAATACAAAACTTGACTTAAAAGAAAACTGGAAACAGCTTTCATCCTCCAGACCTTCATGTTTTAGTCAGGAACATAAAAATGTTCCGTTTGGCATTGAAATAAAGCCGTTCTAGTAAAAGAGAGTCCAGCCTGTTGAGCTCAGCGGCTCCTCATCGATATGAATGATTGATGACGCTGAATGATTGATGACTCACAGGAGAAGCGCGACGCTCGTCCCCCCAGGCCGCACTGCTTCACCCTCTGGCCGGAGAACAGCCCGTAGCTCAGCTCGCCCAGGAACTTGTCCAGCTCCGGCTCGGTGGCGTTGACCAGCTCGGCCCCGGTTCGGCAGAGCGCGGCCCCGCGGAGCCAGAAGGGCAGCCCGGTGGCCACGGCGGCCGTGAGCGCGCAGGAGAAGCCGAGCAGGCCGGACACGGAGAAGAGGAGCTGCTTCTGGCGGCTCGGCATGGTGGACGAACCTCCGTCAGCCCCGGCACCACCTCCGCCACACACCAGCGGAGCCCGAACCGTCCGGATCAGCGACGCGTCCGGCGGCGTTCGGCTGTCTCCGGGTCACCATGGCAACAAGGGCATCGGTTACACCGGGAGGAGGAGGACCCGTAAAGTTTGACATTTGGCTGTTGTCACACACACACACACACACACACACAGACACAGGCTGGATGCGCGGGCACGTGGCGCCCCCCAGCGGCAGCTTTAGGAACAAACTGAAAATCCTGAAAATGATTTCATATTAATTTGGTCGTTACGATCAGAACTGATGTCGGTCCAATAAACCAACAACAATAACGCATCAGAATCAATATATTTTTTGCTAATCACTCATTTTTTGTGTCTTTTGTTATAACAACACAGAGGTACCGTCATTTAATTAAAAATCTGGAAAATAATGAATATTTGATGAATAAAATAAAATAGAAAAACAACTTGTCACCAGACCGCGACAACCAGAAAGCACTTTAACATTCAGTTTATTTAAAATAATACTAAGCTTTCTGAGCTTTTTTCTATACCAAAACAGAAGTACCATCATTTAACCAAAATCCTGGAAACGAATCACAATTTGATATGTAATCAGGGTCAAAATATACTCAGTTAAAGTGGAAAATATTATTAATATAATAAGTTTTAATTAGCTGTTTTTGATAGTATTTTTTGTCTTTAAGGCCCTGAGTGTTTCTTCTTCAGTATCTGACACTACATTAAGAATATTATGTGTCATCAGCTGTGTTGTTACTAATAACTGATTCCTCCCAGAGTGCTAGAGTGAAAAATAAATAATCTTTTACATTCAGTTTATGCAAAAATAATTAACTTTTTGTACATTTTCATAAAAAGATCAGCAGTGCCATCATTTAATCAAACAGACATTTAAAGGGTTAAACTCCCGGAAAATCATCAGTATTTGGTAATTATGATCAGAGCTGATGTTAGTTAGACAAGCAGTCAGTGAAAGTGTCAAATAATAATAATATAAATAAAACAGCAATAAATCTTTAAGCTCCTGAATGTGATTTATTTTTCTGAGGGTTCAGTAAATGTGACAGGCTGATGATCAGAGGAGCAAACTTCAGTAAAACAACAATAATTTACCGCTCAGGTTGTTTGTTGTTTATCTTCCAGCCAACGCCTCCCTCGGGACGTCATGACGTCACTCCCCGGTCTGACGTCAGACGTCCGCCCGCAGCCCGGACCAGCAGGACTTTGTTCTGCATCATGAGTTAATGAAGAGCTTCTGCTCGGACGCGGCTGTTCTGAAGTGTCAGCGCGGAGCAGCTGATCGATAGTCATCGATCCCGTATCGGCGGGTGATCGGTTTGCATCGACAGACTCTCTGCTGCTGTTTTAACGGCGTCCAGCTGATCCAGGTTCTGTCTGGGAGCCGAAAAACCGACAAAGTCCAGTTATCGATGATGGAATTAATGGATCCGATCAGCAGCAGGTAAATGCATCGATTAGCTGAGACCTTCATCGATAGTTCAGTCAGACGGGTTTGATGTTTTCATCTACAAAACTTTTAGATTTTTAAAAATGTTTGAGTTTAAAACTGAAGAAAAATGTTCTTTGAAACTTTTACAAATGAAACGTGACACTTTGTCATAAGTTTCATTTAAACAAAGAGGTTTTAAAGACTCATCAGAGCAGAAACATAGTTTTAAACATATATGAAGCTCAGAGAAAATAGAAATATTTCCTGTATTTAATCAGTTATTGGAGCTGCTTTTACTCCTGAATGTTCTTCTGGTTTTATTTCCATGTTGTTCATTCATGTTTGTGCTGCAGCTAAAAATCTAAAGTTCACAGAAACATGGAGTCATGAAGCAGTTTATTACATTTAATAGCTTTGATTAGTTCAAATTCATTTAACTTCAGTTTTAATTTCTTTCTGCAGCAATAATCTGTTTAATGACATGAAATAAAGTGTAGGACTGTCAGAGGAGTCGTTCTGGACACGCTTATGAGTCAGTTAAGCAACATTAAGGTTGAATTTTGAGAGATTTTGTTTAAGTTTTTGTCATTTTGGAAAAGTTTGAGTAATTTTGAACAAATTCTGGTTCATTTTCGGGGAAAACAAAGTAATTTAATTTAAAAAATGCATTCAGTTTAGACAAACTTTATGTCACTTTGGATGCATTTTTGAGTTACTGTAATAAACCATCAACCATCATAATGATCCAACATCACATTTAACTGCAGCTTTAACTGTCAGAAAGTCAAACATGGAGCCAAACCGGAAGATAAAAATGTCTGATCAGGTCACGTCAGTGTTTCTGACTGTTCACCTGAAGTTCTGAACTGTTTGAAGTTCAGATACCTTTATAGTCGACAGGCTTTTTGCTTAAACTTATCTCGTCTGTGTAGCTCTCTCCACCAGTAGAATGGTTCTGGAAGGTTTCTAAATCCGTTTTGCACAAATTCTGAGTCATTTCTGTCAAATTCAGGGTTGTTTTTGGACAAATTGAGTCATTGTTTAATTGATTTTGAACTTTTTTTGCACAATTTTCAAGTCATTTTGCATGAAACTGCAATTTTTCAGAACATTTTGCAAAATCTTTGAGTCACTGTGGAGAATGTTTGACTAGTTTTGGACCCGGGCAGGTAGTTTGTGCTTCTGTGGAGACCAGAACATTAGTGTTGTTACTGATGAGCAGGTTAAAATCCAGCAGTCGCACTTAAACGTTCAGTATGAGT